ATCAAGAAAACAAGTTTATAATTCGCTTAGCGTTTTAGTATTAAAAAAAAAACATATTTCACACACAAAAAAAGACGGGCACATTTTTTTTCTGAAAAGACAAAATACCTCTCTCGGCAACCATCTCTCTCTAATAGTTTTCTGTTGCTTTTTTTACTATCGAATAGCACGTCTAATACAAAACGTTCGATATTTTTTTTATTGTTCCATTCACCCAAACCCAATATTTAAGTCTGCTTCATGGAGCACAATGCAGTCATCAAATGTCTATTTTTTCCCCTGTTTTCTTTTTTGTCTCTCATAGAAGAAAATATATATAACAGAGTATAGCGAAGTCTGCATTTTTTTTTTTTTTTGCGCTAGTTACCAAAGTAGTTATATTTGGCGACGGTAATTGTACGAGTATCCCAAGGAGAAAAAGAAAAAAGAGGTGATTTCGCGTTCACCTTGGCTAAGCCCTATACACGGTGTGTATAGGGCTTAGCCAACGCTATTAGAAAAATTCAGCTCGGAAACTGCCATGCCTGCTTTGAAAAATTAGTTCCGATCCGTACTCGAGAACCGAACTAGACGTGATCGCAACGCCGCCATTTCTCCCGGAGCGGCCACTCCGGGAACAAAGTTGTGTTGCTTGAATGTTCAGACAGCCTTGATGCAAGTACGCCTCCACGGGTGACTTGTCTCGTAACTGTAGATGAGAAATTTAGCCAGCTCAGTACAACCGCTAACCTGGGGCCTTTAACGTGCACCACACAGTATAGTGATTATACGAACGCGTGTCGGTACGAAACTCATCCAGATCGAAACGGGCAGGTGGTGGGGGTCGAGCGACTCGAGCCCAAGAGGTTCCGCTGCGTAAGCTTTCTATGTACGCTCAGACAGGGGTGGATCCAGAACTCCGATTTTGGTGAAGGGGAGGGGGGGGGGGGGGGGGGGGGGGGGGGCTGGAAGCCTTGTAAGGATACTATTCTCCCATTTTTTTTTTTTTTTTTTTTTTTGTTTAACGGGGGGTCTACCTATGCCAAATTGCCCTCCGAGATGGGGGGGAGCAGAGGAGGTCGACCTCGTTTCTTTTTTTTTTTTTTTTGGGGGGGGGGGGGGGCCGCCCCCATCGCCCCTTCCCCCCCCCCCCCCCCCCCCCCCCCCCCCCCCCCACCCCCCCCATTGGATACGCCACTTCGCTCAGAACTGAGACGTCTTAGCCCACTCGGCCATCGATCTCCCTCCGCGAACTGCACGGCCCAGTCAAGTCGCGCAAGGGCCGGTGGCGCCATTTTGTAGCGCCATCTCGCATCGCCATCACGCAGTAGATATATAAAGCAACTTTCATGTTTTGACTCGCCGCTAAAATCGACGTTGTAATCGTATCTAGTTCGCTCTCGGTGTACGCGAGCGGTCCGGGTTTCAAGCGTGAGTTTCCCAACTGAGTGTTCCAGTAACGTTGGGTACAGCGTAAAACAAGTTTTTAACAGCCAAGTCAATACCCAACATATTGTCGCGAAGTTTTGCTCACGCGTTTGTTTAGTTTAGCTTTTACTTTATATTTTTACCTTCTCCGAAGGTTCGCTCGTCTCCACGGGTTGGCTCATGATTTCTGCCGGAGTCGGGAGGCCCCAAATGGGGGCGAACGTGAACGCTGCAACGGTACACTTAGCTTATAGAACTTAGCGTCGGGGAAGTTTTGTCTTGTGCATGTCTGATTTTTGGATCTCCACTTCGGAGGTGGTTTTTCTCCCGTATAACTTGTATGTCCCACGAACGTGCTTTCTATGGTTTATGACTGCTGTTG